AAAGAACAATTTTGCGGAAGACGACATTTTCCCTTCCCAGCACTTGAAAGAAAGCCAAGGTCTGGCGAACTCTTGAAACCTCCTGGGAAGGTGGGATGGAAAGACGCCAGGCGTGTACGCATGACCGGGTGCGGCTGGGCACCGAGCAGGTCCTGGCTGTGATGCAGAGTGAGGCTCAAGGGGCCCACTGCCTCCCTTGGGTAGATGGTCCACGTGAAAAGGACCGGAAGGCAACCTACTGCCTGGGGGAACAGGGTACAGAATTCTGCATGCTTAGGAAGATTTGCCCTCAAGTAAGTCTGGCCGTTTTTGTTTCGGGGCCACACCCAGCAGTGCTCAGAGTTACTTCTGGCTCTGCACTAAAGAATCACTCCTGGCAGGTGTAGGGAACCATGTGGGGCGGTGGGAATCTAGCCCAGGCCGGCCACATTCAAGGTGAGTACCTACCCGCTGTACTCTCTCTCCAGTCCCAAGATTTTTGCCGTTTTAAAAGAACTAAACTATGAAAGAAAGAAAACAAACAAGCAAACCAAAACCCCGAACTGCTGATGGTCGGGCCAACAAGAACTAAGGCTAGTGAGTGAGATGCTGACCACCAAGATGGAATCAAAAAGCATCTGGAGGGGGTCTGGTGCCACCAGCAGGTCAATCTGCACCTGTGAGGTGAGTGCATCAGCAGCCTCATGGCGCCTTCAGACTTCCAGATACCCCAAAATTGCTGCTGTGCCTTTGGCCAGACCCCAAAAACTTGGGGCAAAGTTTACCAAGAAAGTAAACAGCCAAAAGTTAGGTATGTGGGAGACACACCCACAAACCATGTCGGGCTCAGCTATATAACTGGAGACAAGGCCTCTCTGGTTCCTGATCGAACTACTTAACAGCCATGATCCCAGAGACTCAGAGACAAATCTCGAAACCCAACGGCTTTGGCAGAAATGCATCCAGTTCCTGCAGTAAGGTACAGGCACTGGGCCACCCCAGGTGGGAATAGGTTTTGTGCCTTGGCCTGTTCCCCCTGGCGGCCAAGTGGCCTCCATCCTCCAGAGGCCACTGGACAGACAGTCAGGTTTGGGCCCACAGTGACAAGACACGTGAGGCGTCACTAGATGGGGGTGGAGCCTGCCCTTTCCTCCCCGTCCCAACAAGACCCCGAGTCGCCGCCCATGAATGGCCTCTCTGGCTCCTGATCAAGCTGCTTAATGGTCATGATCCCAGAGACTCAGAAACAAATCTTGAAACCCAGCGGCTTTTGGCAGAAATGCATCTGGACTGCTCAGTAGGTTACTGTCGCTGGCTCACCCCAGAGGTGAAAAGGTGCTGTCCCTCCGCCTGCTCCCCCTTGGCGGCTTGGTGGCCACCATCTGCCAGAGGCCATTGGACAGTCAGGTTTGGGCCCGCAGTGATGAGACACGTGGGGCCTCACGGGATGGGTGTGGAGCTGGCCCTTTCCTCCCCACCCCAACAAGACCCTGAGTCGTCACCAACGAATGGCCTCTGTTGCTCCTGATCAAACCATTTAACAGCCATGATCCCAGAGACTCAGAAACAAATCACAGAACCCAGTGGCTTTTGGCAGAAATGCGTCCAGCACTGGGCCACTCCAGGTGGGAATAGATTTCTTGCCTTGGCCTGTTCCCCCTTGCAGCCCAGTGGCCTCCATCCTCCAGAGGCCACTGGACAGACAGTCAGGTGTGGGGCCTCACAGGATGGGGGTGGAGCCGGTCCTTCCCTCCCTGTCCCAACAAGACCCCGAGTCACCACCAATGAATGGCCTCTCTGGCTCCTGATCAAGCTGCTTAACGGCCATGATCCCAGAGACTCAGAAACAAATCTTGAAACCCAGCGGCTTTTGGCAGAAATGTGTCCGGACCCCGCAGTAGGTTACTGTCGCCGGGCCACCCCATAGGGGAAAGGGTGCTGTCCCTCCACCTGCTCCCCCTTGGTGGCGCGGTGGCCGCCATCAACCAGAGGCCATTGGACAGTCAGGTTTGGGCCTGCAGTGATGAGACACACAGAGCCTCACGGGATAGGGGTAGAGCCGGCCCTTTCCTCCCCATTCCAACGAGACCCTGAGTCGCCACCAACTAATGGCCTTTCTGGCTCCTGATCAAGCTGCTTAACAGCCATGATCCAAGAGACTCAGGAAAAAATCTCAGAACCCAGCAGGTTTTGGCAGAAATATCTCCAGATTTAATTGTTAAAATTTCGGAATTTCAAAATTGCATGGCCACTACTGCAGCCATGTGACATCATATGTTATTCATAACCAGCAATAGAAAACAAATTGTCTACTGTTGCCTTTTCGGCAGATCTGAGTGTTGGGGTAAAATCCCAAATAATAATGGTAGATCTGGTGTCAAAATATTGAATGTAATCAAAGTAGAGAGAGAGAGTAATGTGGAAATCATCTGCCCCACAGGTAGGGGGAGGGTGTGGGATGGGGGTATACTGGGGTTTTTGGTGGTGGAAAATGGGCACTGGTGAAGGTATGGGCATTTCATTGTATGACCGAGACTTAAACCCAAAAGCTTTGTAACTGCTCTCACAGTGATTCAATAAATAAAATTATAAAAATCACAATCACAATCACAACCATCCTGTTATTCGTCGATTGCCTCGAGCAGGCCCCAGTAACGTCTCCTTCGTCCTAGCCTTGAGATTTTTTTTAAAAAGTGCCATATTCAAGGCTCTTTCAGAGTTAGGAGAATGAGACCCATCATTGTTACTGGTATCTGGCATATTGGGTACACCACGGGGAGTTTGCCAGACTCTGCCGTGTGGGCAGGTTACATTCGGTAGCCTGCCAGTTAAATTATAAAAAATGAAGAAAAAAAAGTAAGGTGGAGTTCATGCCCAATTCAATCAGCTAATCAGTGGCTGAATAAATAGCAGTACTCCTACTTTAAAAAAAAAAAGCATCTGGAGGCTGGAGCGAGAACACGGCGGGGAGGGCATTTGCCTTGCATACAGCTGACCCGGGTTTGGTCCCCAGCATTCCGTGTCCCTTGAGCACTTCCAGGAGTAATTCCTTAGCACAGAGCCGAGAATGTCACTGGATGAGGCCCCCAAACAAAAAAAAAAGCAGCATTTGGAAGCTGGAATTCTTTTATCCCAGGGTGAACCCCCCTGGCCGTAAGGATACCTGTCAAGTTGTAGGGGGCAGCAGGTCCACATTCCTCAGGAGCAGGAAATGCTGACCACTTAGGCCATTCACAGCAGTCTCCAAAGCACGGGATACAATAGCAGACTTTGTCATAGGCTCAACACTTCGGGAACAGACTGACCTTACAAGGTGCAAGACCACGGTTCGCCTTCACCCTTGACTCTGACCAGGCTTTCAGGAATGTGCCACAGACCACAGGGGGACAAGCCCACTTCGTATCGTGTAACAAATATGCTGCTGATTCACTGACTGCAGCGCATCAGAATGAATCTAACGTTTGGGTGGGTCACCAGGATCTCCGTTGGTTCACTGGTTTGGTTTGGTTTTTGGGGGGGGCCACGTCCAGCGGTGCACAGGATTACTCCTGGCTCTGCCCTCAGGGATCACTCCTAAGTGGGCTTGGTGGGCTGTATGGGACACCGGGGATCGAACCTGGGTCAGCAGCATGCAAGGCAAGCGATCCACCTGCTGTACCTTCCCTTTGGCCCCATGGACTGGCCACTGTTTGCTGGGGCAAGCACCTGGGCTGATTCTGCCCACACGAGCCCCTTCAGTGATTCCCCCTACCCACCCCAGCACCTGATAGCAGACCTCTGATGGTGACCTTTGTCACTGCTGATGTTGAATCTAAATTTGTTCCATTAATGTCGGACACTGAGACGCGAGTGGAGTCCTGCCACCACTGAGGGAGGGGCATGTGCGCTGACCTGGAAGCTTATTCGCCGTTCAGTCTAGTTCCCAGATAATCATCAGAGAGGGGATGCAGAGAGGGGATGCAGCGTCTTCTCATGAGACACATGGTCACATGTATTTGGGGGGGGGGGGGAGGCCCCACCTGACTGTGCTCAGGACTCATTGCTGGCTCTGCACTCCGGGACCTCTCCTGGCACGGTTCTGGGGACTGTATCGGGTGCCAGGAATCAAACCCCAGGCTGGCCACGTGTAAGGCAAGTGCCCTATCCATTACACGATCTCTCTGGCCCCTCGTGTGTATTTTTAAAATCACATTCTGTCTGAAGAAACACATGGCAATACCGGTCAGGAGCCTGAGAAAGGAACTCACCTTCTGATCTAAAAAGTCTACTTCTAGAATACTGTCTTCATAGGCACGAGACAAATGTGCCAGAGTGGCTGCTTAGAGGATTTACAATAATGCTGCAGGCAGACACAACCCAACGGAAAATGGTTGCGAAAGACACGGTCTAGGAAGCTGCAGCAAAGAGGAGCTTGCCTTGCTTGCAACCTGGGTTTGCTCCCTGGCACACCATATGGTGTGCAAGTGGCCCCAGATGTGATCCCTGAGCACAGAGCCAGGAGTAAGCCCTGAACACTGCCAGGTGTGGCCCCCAAACAGAAAACAAACAAGCAAGCAAACAAACAAAACCAAAAAAAGACACAGTTTAAAATAAAAGCTTACTTTCTCTGGCGGCTGAGTCTCTGTACTAAGGCATGCAAAATCTACAGACTTTGCAAAATCTACAGACTTCCTGCTGGAACGACCCCCTAACTCTAGGTTTGAGATAAACAACAATACGACCCCTTCATGATCCTAAATTCCATTTTTCCCTAACATATATTGTTTTCACAATGCATGCAACATTCTCTTTTTTCTAGATATACAAGTCAGTCACCCCACCTTCAAAAAGTCAAGAGATATTTTCTTTTCACAGCAGTTGCAAAATAATGTTTTGATAAAGATTCTCAATCCCCCCTGGAGCCATGCCCGACTTGGGGAGAAGCCAACTGCCCCTGAGGCCTGGAGGTCCGCCAGATCACCTGGGCGTGCCATCACCCCTGGTCCCCGGGCCCCAGGGCCTGCCACCACGTGCTGACTCACCAGGTAGCCTCTCCAGAAGGACTGGATGATGAGCACCGCCTGCTCTTCCGACAGCAGCAGGGACAGCGGGATGGGGGGCCGGGGGCTGGAAGGCAAAGCCAGGGTCAGCTGCGCCCGCCTGGTGAAGTGCCCCTTCCACCCCATTCCTCAGAAGCAGAGCTGACAGTTCCGAGAGAAATGCTTGTAGCCTTGGCTTCGCTTTGTTTCAAAACATCTTCAATGGGGCTGGAGTGATAGCACAGCAGGGAGGGCGTTTGCCGTGCATGCAGCCAACCCAGGTTCGATTCCCAGCATCCCATATGGTCCCCTGAGCACCGCCAGGAATGGTTTTGAGTGCAGAGCCATGAGTAACCCCTGTGCATGCCGGGTGTGAACCCCCACCCCCCCAAAAAATCTTCAATGATCAGGCCTGGGTCTATCTGGTTTTGGTTTTGATCCTGCTGTCTCCCATCACTGTCCTCTGCTCTCTAAGGGTCTCAGGTGGGCCCTGGGGCACATCCATCCTAGAAGGTGTAATCTGCATGTTAGTGACAAAAATTTTGTGGAGAAGGCAAAGAATAAACTGATGAAGTGGGGGCGCGGGTAGGAGGGACTTTTTTCATTTTATGGGAGAGGTGGAGGTCATAGCCAGTGGTGCTCAGGGCTACTTCTAGCAGGGCTCGGGAACCATATGGGATCCTGGGGATTGAACCTGGGTCTGGTGCGTGTAAGGCCAATGCCCGACCTGCTGTGCTACTGCTCTAGCCCTGAAGGGCCCTTTTATATAGACAGCCAGGTGGATGGGCTCTGTCTTTAATTTTTTTTACTTTATTTGGGTCACATCTGATGATGCTCTGGGGTTACCCCTGGCTCTGCACTCAGGAATTACTCCTAGCGGTGCTTGGGGGACCCTATGGGATGCGGGGGATCGAACCCAGGTCGGCTGCGTGCAAGGCAAAAGCCCTCCCTGCTGTGCTATTGCTCCAGCCCCTCTAATTTTCTATAGAAGGGAAGCTAAGTGATTTGTTAGCTTTCCTGAAAAGCAAAATATTGGAATTTTGTTTGTTTGGGGGCCACACCCGGCTCTGAGGGCAGGTCCTGGGTAGCAGCTGCAAGGACAGGACTCCAAGGCCCCAGCCTCATGGCTTGCACTCCCAGTCCTACACCTTCATGCAGAGAAGGCGCCAACCCAGCCAATCCCACACGGCTGTATGACATCACATCCCAGATGGTCTCCCGAGAAATATTTGCACACCATATATCAAATAAAGGGCTACTATCCGATATAGCACTGTAGGACTGTCCTCCTGTTGTTCATCGATTTGCTCAAGCGGGCACCAGTGCTGTCTCCATTGTGAGATTTGTTGTTACTGTCCAATATAGAAAGAATTTATACATCTGCACCCCAGTAAGTATCAAAAAGTGAGGAGAGGAGATGAACACAGGTATGGAGGCCCAGTAGGCAGATGGAACAGGGTTTCATTCACATCCGTGGAAGGCCGATACCATAGTCTGGAAATCAGTGCTGGTGGGAGGGAGGTGGTGAGAAAGGACCCTCACTCACTGTTGGTGGGAATGCTGTCTGGTTTCATCTCTAGGGGAAACAATATGGAGACCCTCAGGAAAGCAAGAACAGAGCTTCCCTATGACCCAGTGAGGCTACATCTGTACATCTATCCCCAACACAAATCTGAAATGATGCCTGCACTCCAAGGTTCACTGAGCACTTAGGACAATAGCCGGGATACGGGAACAACCTGTACGTCCAACGATGACAAGTAACTGGGTCAAGAAGTTGTGGTATGATGGAATATTATGCAGCTTTGAAAAAAAAGATGAAGTCCTGCCCTCTGCTACGTCTTGGATGGGACTAAAAGGTAGCGTGTTGACAGAAGATGGAAGGAGAAGGATAAATAGCGACAATCCCATTCATCTGTGATATACAGAGACAAAACAAGGGAACGGAACTATGAAGTGATGCCAAGCCTCTGGCATTTTATTTATTTGCTTTTTTGGGTCACACCTATCAATGCACAGGGTTTACTCCTGGCTCTGCACTCAGGAATCACTCCTGGCGGTGCTCAGGGGACCATATGGGACGCTGGGAATCGAACCCAAGTTGGTGTGTGCGAGGCAAACGCCCTACCTGCTGTGCTATCGCTCCAGCCCCGCCCTTGGCATTTTAAGTCTGAGATGGTCAGGTACTGGCGTGGGGAGAGAAGTGGAGGGTCTTGGGCTCCAGGGTGGGGTGAGGGGCTGTAACTGTGTACAGCAAAACCATAGATGCCAACATCATTAGAACCATGTCGCCCAAACTGTAATAACAATAAAAACACAAAGGAAGCAAAGGTGCTAATGGGCTGGAGGTGAGAATGAGAAGAATTGTGTGGCCTGCAAAATGCACCTGTCCCCACATTACACCTGACTCCGAAATGCACCTGCCTTCCCAGAATGCACCTGCCTCCCCGCCAAGCTAGAAAAGGCAAGAAAACAAATGTTCCGTGAGAGCTGTCAGGAGGAACCAGCCATCTGATACTTCAGCTTGTTCCCCAGGAAAGTGATGCTGGGACTCGGAGCCTCCAGGACTGTAAGAAAATCCATTCTCGCTGTGGGTATTTTCAGGCGGTCACAGGAAGCCACTCCACTGGGGGGACAAATGGCAGAGCTAAGATTGGAACCCAGATGTCTCCTGTGCCCCTTGCGGGCTCCCTGTGCACGTTCCCAGGGCGGGAAGGAAAGAAGGCGGCCGTGTGACCAGAAGGGCCGGCCACGGCATGCCCTGCAGGACCCAGCATCCCAGCAGGGAGTGGTCAGAACCCCCTCCCCACCCCTCCCATGGGGCAGACAGACACACACAGCCGCCGTTCCACACAGCGAAGGCTTTGGGATGGCAAGCCGTGTGCTGTGTGATCACTTCCCAGTGTCCTTCCCTGTAGGTGACAGACCTGCTCTGAGCCTCTTCTCAGGCACAGGCACCAGGCGGGCTGGTCCCCTCGGGACAAAGAGGGCCGCTGCTTGTCCTCAAATGGCTCGGGGACACTCCTGCTTTGTTTTCATCTGGCTGTGGTCATAAGATACCTTTTACTGATTTCTTTTCTTTTCTTCCTTTTTTTTTTAAAAAAAAAATTTTTTTTGTGCAAGGGTAGAATTTAGCTGAAAAGACATTTCACCCAAAGCAACCTTTTTCCTTTCTCTTGGAGAACCACCTTTGTTTCACTGAAGGTCTCTGCTTGACTGACGGCTTTTATGAGCCTCGTCCCTGGGGACAGGGGACCAGATAGGCCACAGAGCACACCTGTCCTCACTGCCGAGCTGGGGGCTTATTTTCACCAAGGAATCCAACCGATGTTTCAGGGCAATTTTGTTGCTGCCGAGTGAAAGGCAAAAAACGTCTTCTGTTCTTAATATGATAGCAAGCGTTTTGCTTGCTCCTGATTGGCGGGCTGGGTCAGGCCATTAGAGCAGAGATTATGCTGATTCATACCAAGGGGTGCAGCTGGGGAGACAAGAGGTCCTGCAGCACTGATGAAAGGTGGGGGGCGGACACCCCAAAGCTTTAGGTCGCGGGGAGAATTGTGCCCACGGGACGGGAGGCTGGAGAGACAGTACGGGGTGCAGGAATTTCCTGGCACGCTGCCGACCCTGGTGCAGTATTCGGCACTGCACACAGTCACCGAGACATCTCCAGGAGTGATGCCTGAGCATGGAGCCAGGAGTGTGGCCAAGCACCTGCCTCCACAGGAGGAGTATTACTCCAGGGGCTGGAGCGATAGCACAGCAGGGAGGGCGTTTGCCTTGCACACGGCCAATCCGGGGTTGATCCCGGCATCCCATATGGTCCCCCAAGCACCGCCAGGAGCGATTCCTGGGTGCAGAGCCAGGAAAAACCTCTAAGCATCGCCGGGTATGACCCAAAAAAGTAAAAAAAAAAAAAAAGTATTACTCCCAAGATTGATTCCTTTCCCTAGCTGAGCTGTGTTCTGACCCTTTGGCACTTGCGCTGCGTTGAAGTTTTTCCTTGATGCTGCAGGGTTCTGCTTGCAGCCGGGACTGAGTGCAGAGCCAGGAGTAAGCTCTGAGCACCATGGGCCATGTCCCAAGCCACCCACCCCTCAAAACAAAAAAAGAAACAGTTTTTCCAGTGTCACTCTCCTTTCAGTGTGTAGCTAATCTTAGTTGCTTTTTTTTTTTTTTAACAGAAAAGCCAGTGTGTTTTTATTTCTCCAAATTAAGAAAGTCACCAAGGTCTATTCAACTCAGCATCTCAAAAAAAAGGGGGGGGGGGCAATAAAAGCCAAATCTGTGTGGGCTGACTGCAGGAGTTCGTTTCAGGCCTTCTGCGCTGTCCAATACAGGGTCTGGCCAGTGTCTTTTAATTTCCCGGGGCCTTGGTTTCCTGACATTGTCCTGGCAGAGGGCTGGTGTGAAAACATTTTCAAAACAAGAGGTTAAATATATTTTAATTTTTCTAAATGGAGCCTCCTTTCTTTCACCTTTAGCTTGAAATGGTGAAGCCTGCTTAAACGCCTCCTTCCAGCTGAGTTCTCTCAGAGAAGTAGTTTCCCCATCAATACTATATACCCCAAATCAGCTTTTTTTGGGGGGGGGTTGAGGGGGTCACACCCGGCGATGCACAGGGGTTACTCCTGGCTCTGAGCTCAGGGATTCACTCCTGGCGGTGCTCAGGGCACCATATGGGGTGCATGGCAAGAGTCCTCCCCGCTGTGCTACCAATCTGGCCCTTCCTTACAGCTCTAACTGACTTGCTCCTATGAGCCAGACACTCGTCTAGGCTATAAACTGCACCGTGGCAGGGACTGGGGACTGCTCGGTTCCTGTCTTATCGCCCGCACCTACAGTGGCATTCAGTGCACAGAATGACTCAGTTATGATGCCTCGTAGGAATGAATCAGCCTGGAAACAGCACGGCTGGAAAGCCCCCCAAGGACAGGAGTTAGATGTTGAGGAATCAACAGAGCAGTGGAGCAATACACATATAGCAATACACTCATGGGCAAGGAGGCTGGGGACAGCACTGCTGCCAGGGCCAGGTCAGTTCATTCACAGCAAGGGCCGCGGAAATGACACAGCGCTGAATAAAAAGTAGTTCTCCTCACCGTCAGGGTCCCTGCTGACATTAACAAAAAACGGGTCCTGTCCAAGTTTACGACTATCGGGGCAGAGGTCGTACAGGGTTGAGGCCTTTCCCACACAGGCTGCTGACCGCAGTTAGATCCCTGACACTGCATGTGGTCCCCTAAGTACTGCCAGGGGTCACTCCTGAGCCCAGGAGCAGCTCCTGCGTACAGCCAGGCAAGGCCCCAAACCAATTATCAACTGCTGGGGTGGGGGGCCAGGAGGAGGAGATAGAGACAGAGACAAAGAGAGAGAGAGAGAGAGAGAGAGAGAGAGAGAGAGAGAGAGAGAGAGAGAGAAGAGAAGATGAATGTTTGCTTTGCTTCGGCTTTGGCCTGGGTTTGACCCTTGGTATCACCTGGTTCCCCAGCCCTGCCAGGGTGATCTCTGAGCACAGATTCAGGAGTAATCCCTGAGCACCACTACATGTGACCCCCCCCACCCCCGTGACCAAAAAAAAATCCCAAAAGTCCACTCCTACCTTTTATAAGTTACAATCTAATTTACACATTTAAATAATATTTAGACTCTAGGAGTATGTGCTAGAGACCAGGTTGATTACTTTGGGGAGAAAACTTAAGAATGGAATAATGCCAAACGAGAATTTTAACCTTACCTTCAGGTTCTAATAGGTTGAATGTGGAAGTCATATAGAGAAATAAAAATTAATGTTCAGAGAAATGAAGTCATAATTCCTGAGACATAATGACCTGGGCGTGGTGTGGGGGGAATGGGGGACTGAATGGAGAAATTAATTAATTAGTATAAGAAGTGTAGAAGAGTGTGTGTGTGTGTGTGTGTGTGTGTGTGTGTGCGCATGCACACATGTGTGTGGTGCCAGGGACCCAAGCCACAGCTCCACACAGGTGAGGCCCATACACTCCCAAGAGTCATTGTCCCTGCCCCTCCAAGACCGACGTTTTTTTCTTTTTGGGTCACACCCGGCGATGCTCAGGGGTACTCCTGGCTCTGCACTCAGGAATTACTCCTGGCGGTCCTTGGGGGACCGTATGGGATGCTGAGGATCGAACCTGGGCCGACCGCCTGCAAGGAAAACACCCTACCTGCTGGACTATTGCTCCAGCCCCCAAGAAATATTTTTAATTTCCTATTTTATTTCTGAAGTAATTATTGAATCCAGGTGGATCCGATGAATCTTCCTGTAGACTGAAAATCATCAGATGCAGGGGCCAGAGCCATAGTACAGAGTGTGAGGCATTTGCCTGGCATGTGACCACACTGGGCTGGACCCTTAGCACCCCCTAAGGCCCCCTGAGTCCCACCAGGAGTGACCCCAGCGTGCAGAGGCAGGAGTCAGCTCTGAGGCCCAGGTGGGCTCAAGCACAAACAAAAAGAAAACCTGACAGGGGTGGCAGATACAGCTAGCCAGAGGTTGGGATGGATCACATGGGTGAGGGTTTTTTTGAATTTTTGACTTTTTTTTTTTGAGTCACACCCAGTAATGCTCAAGAGTTACTCCTGGTTCTGTTTTTTTTTTTTTTTCCTTTTGGGTCACACCCAGCAATGCTCAGGGGCGACTCCTGGCTCTGCACTCAGAAATCCCTCCTGGCAGTGCTGGGGGACCCTATGGGATGCCAGGAATTGAACCTGGTTCGGCCGCATGCAAGGTGAATGCCCTACCCGCCATACTATCGCTCTGGCCCCTGGTGAGTTTTCTTCGCTTGAGAGAACCCTGAGTCAGAGAGCCCTGCGTGGTACTCACTGATCCTTCAGCCACTGCTCCACAAAGGGGATGGAGAAGAATTCTGTGAACGGCTCCCCGGCCCGCTTAGGATTCTGACTGCTCCCGGGTCACGTTGGATGGACGAGAAGACAATAGCAAGAGTTCCTGTCAGTGCCTGCTCTTCCGATCGCAAATTCACAGTGTTTAATCTCGGGGTTGTGCAATACTTCAAAGCGTGAAAAACTTACTTGAACAGCCACTGGGTCAGATAGTCACAGGCAATGAATTTGGTCCTTTTCCTCTAAAGAGAGAAAGAGAGTGAAACTGTAGTCTTTGCCCACCTTTCTAAGTAGGACAAAGAGAAAGAGGCTAATTAATTGTGTTAGATGAAATATGCCCGAGTCCTTTAGAGATCCCCAAGGGCATCAGCAGGCAGGAACTCATGCCCACAAAGGATTCTGGACGTGGTTCTCAAGTCACCTTTGCCTAAGTATATTTTCTTCTTGGTACATTTCTGATGTGCTGAAGCCACACTGGTTTGTAAGCGTATAAAAGTATGTGTGTTTGGGACACACTGTTACCATACCAGGCCCACCCACCTCCGAAGTGGGGGTCAGAGCAATAGCACAGAGGGTCGGGCATTCCTCTTGCATGCAACTGACCCAGGTTCAATTCCCAGCATCCTACAGGATCCCCCAAGCACCTGAGGAGTAATCCCTGAGTGCAGAGCCAAGAGTAACCCCTGAGCCTCGCTGGGTAGGACCCAAAAAGGAAAAAAAATCCCACAGAGTGCCAAGACCCCCTCCACTACAGCTTCCAGTGTTCTTCCTTTCAATTGGCCGCTTCCCTCACCCCACCCCAGCAGCCTGACCTTGCACCCACTTCAGGTACCTCAGACCTTGTCATCAGCTCAAGATGACAGAGACTACCAGGGCTGGAGCGACAGCACAGCAGGGAGGGCGTTTGCCTTGCACGCAGCCAACCCGGGTTCGAATCCCAGCATCCCATAGGGTCCCCTGAACACCGCCAGGGCTAATTCCTGAGTGCAGAGCCAGAAGTGACCCCTGTGCATCGCCGGGTGTGACCCAAAAAGAAAAAAAAATGACAGAGACTACCTATTCTCTCACTCTATTCTTTCTTTCTTTCTATCCTCCACCCAGGTGGGATCATTCAGTATCTGACTTTCTGTCTTTCTCCAACTTATTTCCCTTAGACAAACCCCTCCAGAGTTCCATCCACATTGTAGCAAAAACCGGAATTTGTGGGGGGCAGGGTGGGTGGTAACACAATTGTACAGCAGGTAAAGCTCTTTGCCAGCAGCAGGCCCAGGTTTGATCCCCGGCACCCCCTATGGTACCCTGAGCCCCGCCAGGAGTCATCCCCAAGTGCAGAGTCAGGAGTCAGCCCTGAACGCTGCCGGGTGTGGCCGCCCAACAACATAAAGGCAGGATTTCATCTTTTCCTACAGTTTGAACAGTGTTCCAGTATGTATACAAACAAACTGTCCTGTCCTCCAGTTGTTCATCGATTTGCTCGAGCGGGCCCAGGAACATCTCCATTGTGAGACTTCTTGTTACTGTGTTTGGCATACTGAATTCTCTTGGTAACTTGCCAGGCTCTCCGAGAGGGGCGGAGGAATCGAACCCGGCTCAGCTGGGCTGGCTGCACGCAAGGCAAACGCTCTACTGCTGTGCTATCACTCCAGCCCTTGTATACAAACAACCTTTAAAAAATAGAAATAAATCCCACTCACCTTTCCTCAGACACCTGGGTTGTCCCCAGATCTTGGCTATTATAAATAGCACTACCGTGATTTCCGTGTTTGTTCTTTGGATAGAAACCTATAGATACTAAGTGTGGAATGACCAGACCATATACAGTACCAGTTTTCATTTTTTTTCTTTTTTGGGTCACACCCGGATGCTCAGAGGTTACTCCTGGCTCTGCACTCAGAAATTACTCCTGGTGGTGCTTGGGGGACCATAAGGGATGCTGGCGATTGAACCCAGGTCAGCTGGGTGCAAGGCAAACGCCCTCCCCACTGTGCTGTCGCTCCAGCCCCCAGTTTTCATGTCTCAGGTAGTCTCCATCCCATTTCCTCCGGAGCTTAAGTCCGGCTACATTCACCCCGACAGTGCATGGAGGTTTTTTTCCTTTTTCTCCACCCCCTCCCCCCCCACACCGGGCAGCACTGGTTCTTTCTGGCCTTTGGGTCTGCCAACACAGGCTCTGTCTGTGATGTGACAACAGGCTGCGTTGAGCGCGGGGGCGGTGACTACGTGCTCCGGGGATTGCCTCCCAAGGATTTGATTGGCTGGACCCCGAACCCCTGTGATGAGTTAGTGGCTTTACCCTGGCCCACTCAAATCCTGGGAATGGCAGAACTGCAGGTGTCGAACGTGGAAGTCAAGCACGGAGGCTCCAAGGCCGTCACCAACACTGTCCACCATTCACCCGAGAGGCACTCCCGGCGTCTTTATGAAAAGGCGCCAGCTGGCGGCCAGCCCCGGGAGATCGTCTCCCCCTTTCCCAGGTGAGCCAAGGGCCGGCCGGGACCACAGTGTGTCCGGTGAGGCAGGAGTGGCAGCCCCAGTGGGTTTCTGGAAGGTTCTGCATGCTGGGCTCCCGCGGCCTCTGCTTCCCTGGCATTTCCTTCTCCGCCTTCCAGTCTGGAACAGATGTGGGCCTACAAGGGGAGCTGCAAGGCCAGGCCCACACCCCAGGGACGAAGGGGTGGTGGGCTAGAGGGAATCTGGACCTTTAATGACTTCCGTCTGCTGCTGCCCCAGGCTGGCTCCAGCCTACTCTGGCCCTCTCGGTACACACGAAGGGATGGACGTCACTTGGGCTATGACCACTCTCCATTCCATGCAGTGCCTGGGTGACGAAGAGCTAGTAAGTCACAGGCAGGGACAGAGTCCTGAACACAAAGGGGGGGTGGGGAGAGCACTGGGGTGCCCCACCCAGTATCCTGTCTCCAAGATCTACGGGAAGTCTTTCGTCACCAAATCAGAACCACCAGCTCCTTCAAGAGAACTGTCATGGAAGCTGGGAGCAAGCCGGTCCCCACCTGTCCTCTGAGGGTTGGCAGGGGTGCCCCACCCCCTCGCCCCTGCAAGACTGGTCTCGTGAGGAGGCAGAACCTGCAGGCAATCCCCTCTGGGCCCCTCTAGGGGTCTCCTTGCTCCACCGGGCTCTGGGTCCCTGGAGGCTGCATTAAGCAGGTTTCCTTCATCTGGAGCCGGTGTTGCCCCTGGAAGGCACCAGCAGGAGATGGAGATGAAGGCAGAGAAGGCTGGGTACTGGGTGCTGAGTCATACCTTTCCCCCGCTGAGAATTCAGACGTTGAATTCCCAACGCTCAGCACTTATTTATTTATTTATTTATTTTTATTTTTTGCTTTTTTTGGGGGGTGGGGGGTCGCACCCGGCGATGGGGCTAGAGCGACAGCACAGCGAGTAGGGCGTTTGCCTTGCACAGGGCTGGGTTGGCTGACCCAAGTTCGATTCCCCCGCCCCTCTCAGAGAGCCCGGCAAGCTACTGAGAGTATCTTGCTCACACAACAAAGCCTAGCAAGCTACCCGTGATGTATTCAATATGCCAAAACACAGCAACAAGCCTCACAATGTTACTGGGCCCGCTCGAGCAAATTGATGAACAACGGGAGAACAGTGACAGTGACAGTGACCCTGCGATGCACAGGGGTTACTCCTGGCTCTGCATTCAGGAATTACTCCTGGGGGTGCTCGGGGGACCATACGGGATGCTGGGAATCGAACCCTGGTCAGCTGCATGTAAGACAAATGCCCTCCCTGCTGTGCTATCGCTCTGGCCCCGCCCACTACTTTAGAACGTGCCTTAGCAGGAATGAGTTTCGGTACAACTCAAATTTGTTAAAGCCCAGCTGACCCTTGAGAGGACAGAGCAACTCTGAGAAGAATGAGCCAATGTAGGGCCTACTAAGAAGGAAAAAGGGAAATGATGTGAGCGAGACCATCGGTGGCAGGTTCCTCCGGCTCTCATACTGGACCCTGGATCCAGCTCTTTCTGAAGCCCCAAATCCCCTTGACTTCTCAGGGCCAAGCGTGATATTCCCTATGGGAGCAAATCCCTAGATATTGCTTATGTGGAGTCATCCAGTTGGCGTTGACTACTCGCAACAGGGTTTTCCCCGATTGGCTGACTCCCATGAGTTCTTCATGAAGCTTCCCAGAAGCCCGGCTGACCATTCTCACCCTCTCCTGAGGATCTCTGCCATTTCTCCCCAAACACCTGCAGTCCAGGCACCTCAGAGAGAAGTGGAACAGTCCTGCCAGCCACCAGATCCATCTTCCCTGCAGAACTACAAACTCCCTAGCAAGGCTGTAGCCATAGCATAGCGGGTAGAGCATTTGCCTTGCACGCGGCCGACCCGGGTTCGATCCCCAGCATCCCATAGGGTCCCCCGAGCACGGCCAGGAGTCATTCCTGATTGCATGAGCCAGGAGTAACCCCTGTGCAACACCAGGTGTGACCCCCCCAAAAAAAATAAGCCAAACCAACTCCCTAGCAACAGGCCACCTTGCTTTCCTTTCTGTCTCTCCCTCTCACACCCCCCATGGGGATGCTTGGGCCACGCAGGTGAGTCGGTGAATGAGCAGACTCACCCCTCGGCTCTGGCCTCCAAGCAAGAACAGCCCGTCCAAGAATGCCTGACATTTCCAAGTAGAAGCTGCTCAGGCAGCCCTGCCTCAGCCCACTGCGATTTATGACGAAAACGCTCTCCGCCCGGTTGGCTCAGAAACAGCCTGCTAGGCTTTGTAACCTCAGATACAATGAACAAGACTGTGGCCAAATTAAGGTGGTTTTTCTTTCCCCCACCCAAAAGAAAAAGTACAGATTCAGCTGTTCCCTGAAAGTCTGTTAATAAAGCCCTCTGTTGGGGTTGGAGCGATAGCACAGCAGGGAGGGCGTTTGTCTTGCATGCGGCCAACCTGGGTTTGATTCCCAGCATCCCATAGGGTCCCTCGAGCACTGCCAGGAGTGATTCCTGAGTGCATGAGCCAGGAGTAGGCCCTGTGCATCGCTGGGAGTGACACACAAAGAAGAAGAAGGGGGAAAAAAGCCCTGTGGTGTTGGTGTGGTGCGGGAGATTGTTGGTAGTTTTTGACCTCAGTAGAAACACCACGGCCCATGAGGCGGAAATGAAATCTACTGGCAATTCCCGGGGTTCCCCAAGGCAGCCTCCCGAGAGCAGCCTCTTCCTTTAGAAGTCCCTTCTCACTGTGATAAGCAAATACTTGTACGACAACGCAAATATGT